GAGCCGAAGGCAGATGCTTAACGACTGAGCCACCCAGGCGCCCCCGGGAGTTGTTGTTTAAAGGGTACAGAGGTTCAGTTTTGCAAAATGGAACAGTTCTGAAAATCTGTTTCACAACAATGTGGATATACTGAACACTACTGACTACTGAGCTGTACCTGTAAAAATGGTTAAGGTGGTAAATTTTGTGGGGTTTTTAGCCACAATTTTAAAAAAAAGAAGAAACAAATAGAACTATGTATCACTTACATAGGACTAGAACACAAAAATATTTTTTTCATCTAAATTTCATCCTAAAAATTTTACGTGCACCAAACCCCAGACAAGATTTCACCAGGGTGTCCTGCCCCAGAGACAGCAGTTGCTTCTCAAACTTTAATGTGCATACAGATGATCTGGGGAGCTTGTTCATATGCAAATTTTGATTTAGTAGCTCTGGGATAGGGCCCAAGAATTTGCATTTCTAACCAACTCCCAGGTGATGCCAAAGCTATTGGTCTCTAGACCACACTGGGTAGCAATGGTAACCCGCATTAATCCAACAAATTTAATGAGAGCCACAAGTATGAGCTGCATATGTAATTTTAAATTGCCTAGTGGTCACAGCTGAAAAAAGCAAAATGGAAGCAGATGAAATCAATTTTAACAATATAGTTTGTTTAACCCAATATATCCAAAGTAGTATCATTTCAAGGTGTAATCAACATAAAAATTATCGATGAAATATTTGACGTTCTTTTTTTCATACTAGGTGTCTAGAAATCTAGTGTGTATTTCACACTCCCGGCACATCGAAGACCCCGTGTGGTTAACGGCTGTTGCATCCCACCCAGCATGTCTTGGCCCCACGGGCTACAAAGTCAGACAGCCTAGATCTGGGTCCTGGCCCTGACACTTCCTAGCTGCGTGACCCAGAGGCAGTTATTAATACTCACCAAGCATCAGTTTCTTTATTGGTAAGATGGGAAAAACAATCACATCTACTCCACAGAGTTGCGGGGGTTCCATGCCATAACGCACTGGGGTCGGCACACGATAAGCCCTTATAATGGTCAGCGCTGTGACAATTACTAGAATTATCATTTAGTGAGTGTTTCCTGTAGGCCAGGAGCTTTACCTATATTGGGTTGGTTAATCCTCACAAAAATCCTTTGAAGTACATACTGTTCTTTCTAGTCTTTAGGTGAAGAAAAGGAAACTCAAGAGGTGAGCTGCCCAAGAATGTGGATAGTAACTGCTTGGAGCTGGACCTGGAATCTGAGTTTACCTGACTTCTCGATCTTGTCCACATTTCTGGCAATTTAAAGAATGTGACGACTACAGATATTCTTAATTTTCAGCTGTTTAGAAATAAGACTTAATTGGGCACCTGGGTGGCTCAGTTGGTTAAGCGACTGCCTTCGGTTCAGGTCATGATCCTGGAGTCCCGGGATCGAGTCCCGCATCGGGCTCCCTACTCGGCAGGGAGTCTGCTTCTCCCTCTGACCCTCCCCCCTCTCATGTGCTCTCTCTCTCTCTCTCACTCTTAAATAAATAAATAAATAAAATCTTTAAAAAAAAAGAAATAAGACTTAATAAAAAATTAAGAAGGGCACCCTAGCTATTGGTAAAATTTCAATAAAATCTTTTATTTCTGTAATATTTATAGGTGTCCAAGTGCTTTAACATATTTTACCTCACTTGTTTAACTAGGGAAAAGGGAGATATTACAATTTCAAGGATGAGGAAATGGAAGTTATGAGAAGTGACGCGTTCAAACTTATATTGGAATCCAGATCTCTAACTAAAGGCGAGAGTATGCTCATTCTGTAATACCTAGAAAATCTGAAGGGTGACTGGTAAAGACTTTTTCATTTAAAATTCATTGTTATTTACATTTTATAATTAGATTTGAATTTTTCCAGAGCTGTCAGTTTGGTATCTTGAGACGTGCACAAATGAGCTACTAGTTAATCTTGCCAGAGGTTCAAGATACTTGAAGTTTAATCTTTTTGTAAACCTCAAGATTTGTTCAAAAGCTCACCTGCTTTCTAAAGCTCCAACAACTAAAGCAATCAAGTAGCAGGGGATGGGCACCTAAAGGGGCAAAAAAAACAACAACACACACACATGCTCAAATTAGTACTTAGAAATGTTACAGAGTAAGATAATTCATATTTAAAAGTAAGTAAATTCCTTTTCAAATCTCACCGTTCTCATTTTTAGGGGGTCAAATAGTTCAAAATTGTGATGTAAAACATTTCAAAACATCTATTTCTCTTTTATTTTACTAGGAAAGACAGCGTCTGAAATGTGAAAGACATGACTGCACATAATATTACCGGGTTCATTTCAAGCATTTCTCAAAAATTAACCCAGAAGAAGGAACTGTGCTTTTTTCTTAAGCTTTTTGGTTTCTTCCTTGACGTAAAACAATTTTTTACTTCCTTTTTTTAAAAACACTCCTGGTATATTTGAAAGACGTATAAAATAATCCAGCAATAAGAAGATGCTGAAGGTTCGGGAGCTTGGAATCCCAGATGCTGGGGTGGGAGCAAAATTGTCCACTGTGGTTCAATTACATGTTCTCTTTAGAAGGTCAATTAAAAAAAAAAAACCATGCATAAACACATTTAATTCATTAAAGGTCAAAGATACAAGTCAAATTACCATCTACATAGGAATTTTAACCATAAGGACTGTAACAGAGTTGGGTTTTTTTTGGGGGGCGGTCTAATATAGCTCTTCCATTTGTAAACACTAAATAATCACAGGCCTGCACTGTGGTAGGAGGGTGGACAAAAGTGTAACTTAAAACAACAGAAAACCTGCTGCTAACTGAGATGAGGGAGAATGGGATCAGGCCACACTCCCTACTTTGCTTATCCAGCAACCCCTTTCTTTAGTCCAGCTCTGTAAATAGAGCCCAACATTTTACAAGCACAAAAGAAATGAAGAACACAAAAGACAGAAGCTGCTTTTGAAATTCTGAAATATTTCAAAAGCAATTTTACTCTCTGGATGGATAAAAGCTATTTACAGTTCACTAGCAATTAGAACAAAAAAGGAGGCCCTCAGATCTTACTTTTTGGCTGAATTTATATATTTTCCTGCTCGGGTCTTCTGGGTCAGGTGCTTCTCCATCACGAATGGCACTCATAAGTGCCACCAATTCTTTAGGAACAGATACCTAATCAAGAAGAGAAGTCATTTCCAGTTCTAAAGAAAACAGTCTATGTATCTTAAACTGCATGTGTAATAGACAATGAGCCCAGTAAGTTTGGACATATCAGGTTTATAAATAAAATTAGCGATATATAAAACTGGCTTCTTTAAAAATGAATGTGAGGTATCTATCTATCCTTCATCCATCCATGTTAAGAGCATTTGGTAGAAACTAGATTAGAATTCCAGCTCTGCTACTTACTAACAGCATGGACTTGGGAAAATAATCTCCCTAAGCCTCAGTTTCCCCATCAAACAAGAGTAATTCCTCATAGGACTGCTGCAAAGAATAAGTAGGGAAGAAAAGCCCAGCAACCTTCCTGGCAGGGCTAGTCACCCCTGTCCTCCTCCACACCCTCAGAACAGATTCACAAGGTATACTCACTTCAGGACAGAGAATACAGTTTTGAACAGTTTTATATTTAAACCATACACTTGGAGTTACAAATCAAAGAGCTTTTTAAGGGTCATGATTGTGAGAAACTAAGAGTTATTGCCCAAAACTGTAAAATATTTTCTCTGGGAATTTGTATGGAAAAGATGCTGATGGAGCAAACCTTATGGTCATTTAAAAAAAAAATTTTTTTTAAGATTTCATTTATTTATTTGAGAGAGAAAGCAAGAGAGAGAGAGAGAGCACAGTGGAAGGAAGGGCAGAGGGAGAGGGAGAAGCAGGCTCCCCGCTGAGCAGGGAGCCCCCTTATGGTCACTTGAATGTGCACCCGAGCTCCATGATTCTGAGTTTTATTTCTAATGAATGCTAGAATCAAGGACTATCCCTTCAATATTAATGATCTAGCAAACATACATCCCGTGAAGTTCTAGATTTTCATATTCTTCTTGCCTGGCCCAGTATTTAAAGCTATTTCTGAGGCAGACACAGAATCAGAACCTCCAAAACCAATGCTACAACAACCGTAAGTCTAGAGCTAAAAAGCACTCGGGAAATAATTGAGTTCTGCTTCTTCCCTTTATTTAGGTGGCGATGTGTTATACAGATGAGACAACTCAGGGTTTTGAGGCCATAAGACCTGCCCCAGGTCATGCAGTTAGTTAGTGGTAGAGAAGAGTCCAAAACCTGGGATTCTTCGTCTCCAAGTATATGGTTTTCCACAGCACTATACATACTAGGTGTGGTTCAGTTGTGGGATGATCTCAGAACCAAGAAGCCCCCATAAAGACAGGTTAGTCCTCAATTCTATTTGCTTGGTCTGAGTAGGTCTGGCCTGGGACCTAGTATGTACATATGTAGGTATGTATGTCTTCAGTATTACTTAGTTAGTTAGTACTTATTTATTATTATAGTCCTTTTTGTAAAAGGATTAGCAGTACCTACAACAGGAATCAGGTGGACATGTAGTCAGATAAGTCTGTAATCTATGCCTGTTAGGGGACCTAGACAGAGGTTCACGTGGCTATAGAGGGCATTTCTAGAAACTTTAATCCTGCAAATGGTAATTTTTTAAAGTTAGAAGATGTTTTCCCCAAATTCTTGTTTTGAGGTCCGCTATTCTGAATTCCTTTTAAAATCAGAATAGTACCCATTTCCTTTTATTACGCTTATGTTCAAAACTGCCTTTAAAAGAGAGATGCACTGCCAGAATCCTGGGATCCAGCTGCGCATTGGGCTCCCTGCTCAACGGGGAGCCTGCTTCTCCCTCTCCCTCTGCCTGTCGTTCCCCCTGCTTGTGCTCTCTGTCAAAAGAATAAATAAAATCTTAAATAATACATACATACATACATACATACATAAATAAATAAATAAATAAAAGAGAGATGCAGGGGCGCCTGGCTGGCTCAATCGCTGGAGCTTGTGACTCTTTTTTTTTTTTTTTTTTTAAGATTTTATTTATTTCTTCATCTAAAACTAATGAGGTAATGTATGGGGATTAACATAAGAATAAAAAAAAAAAGATTTTATTTATTTGACAGAGAGAAAGACAGCCAAAGAGGGAACACAAGCAGGGGGAGTGGGAGAGGGAGAAGCAGGTTTCCCATGGAGCAGGGAGCCCAATGCGGGGCTCGATCCCAGGACCCCGGGATCATGACCTGAGCCGAAGGCAGACGCTTACTGACTGAGCCACCCAGGCGCCCCTGGAGCATGTGACTCTCGATCTCAGGGCTGTAAGTTCAAGCCCCACGGTGGGTGTAGAGATTACTTAAAAATAAAATTTTTAGAAAAGAGACGCAAAATGAGGTCCACATCTTCTTTGTTACATATCTCATATAGAAGTTAATTAAGTAAAATATTACTAACTATAAAAATCCAGTTATTAACTCTGCTTATCATTTATACCACATTTACTTAAATGAGTCATTTAATTCAGTTAATAATTTGTGATACGTACCTCTGCGCTGTACGTTAATTTCACAGAAGGAGTGTCCTGGCAAGGAAGAACTGCTCTGCAGTGGATGGCCTGGGAGGGGGGAGGGAAAAAGAAAAAGCTATTCCCCTTTCTTATAAATCAAGTCATTCAGAAATTATTAAAATTGCAGCACTGCCCTTTGACACATTCTTTTTAAAAATACATCTCCCATTTTTTTCAGATCGCGGATAGAAAAGTCTGATTTCCCATTTTAATGTATGGTCAATCCTCACGTTTCAGTTGAAGCATGAAGCAATGTTAAGCATCGTCTCCTACTCTCTGCTCAGAGTAACAGCAGTACTCAGTGATGCTGGTAGGGATCCTGAGCAAAAAGGCTCTTTAGTGAAATAAAATTGAGAACCATGCATACTACATCCCTGTCTTAAAGAGTCATTTGGAACATTAGCCTCCTGGAGACTCTGAAAAGGCCTACAATAAAGAAACCTGTTTGAATTCTTACACTTGTTTTAACAGGAAACTATCTTGCTCTGGTTAATTATTAACATCTAATGGGAAGCCCATTAGATGTTCTGAGGAAAACAGTTTGGGGAGTGTTGCTAGATGCTTGACATTCCAATCTTGCAGCAAACTTTCAAAGTAAAAAGTAAGAAGAAAAGGAAGGAGAAAGAACGGTTTTTCTCAATACCATCTAGACTTGTATTTAAATTTGAGTCTAAGGTAGTATCTATTACTTAGGAATATTGAGAGGATTAAATGTGCAAAGTATCTAATATAATGTTGGAAAATACAGTTAGTGTTTAATGAAATGAGTTCCTTTAGTTGTAAATTATTTAATTACTAACGGAATTAGTTTTTTTCCCTTTCAGAAGATAGTTTGGTATGTATTACCCTTGTGACAGACTGTCTCTACTGATAGGATTCTTTATTCTTAGTTTTTAAACAGAAAACAGAAATAGTTTAAATTGTATCATTTTATTTATTTATTTTTTTTAAAGATTTTATTTATTTATTTGACAGAGAGAATGAGAGAGAGAGCACATGAGAGGGAGGAGGGTCAGAGGGAGAAGCAGACTCCCTGCCGAGCAGGGAGCCCGATGCGGGACTCAATCCAGGGACTCCAGGATCATGACCTGAGCCGAAGGCAGTCGCTTAACCAACTGAGCCACCCAGGCGCCCTAAATTGTATCATTTTAAAGGTCATTTAATATGTTTACATAACATATACATTTGTAAAAGCATAAGGAAAATCTGGAATGGTTGCACACCTAACTCAGTGGTGGTTACTTCTGGGCAATGGTACCTGGAGAAGACTGAAAAATCTGATTTTTCACTTTCCACTTCTTTACTGTTTTGTTTTGTTTTGTTTTTAAGATTTTGCTTATTTATTTGAGAGAGAGAGAGAGAGTGGGGCGGGGAGGGTCAGAGGGAGAAGCAGGAAGGCAGTCACTTAACCAACTGAGCCACCCAGGCGCCCTCCACTTCTTTACTGTTAACACTTTTCATAACCAGTACCTATTACTTTTGTCTTATTAATTTTTCCTTTCTGTTTCATAACCATTTCTTGAGTGTCCACTCAAGAATGCCAAGTTCTATGCTAGGTGCTAGGATAATAAATATAAATATGACCTAGACAGTCCACTTTAAGTGGACATGATTTCAAATTGAAGGGAGTTTCTTTTTAAAAGTGATATATGAATATGTTAATAATGAGATAGCAATGAAAATATATATCATTTTTATAACATAAATTAAAATACTATCTTAGGTAAGACCTGAGTATCCATAAGACCACTGTCCACTTTGCTTCAGTAAACTGAATGTGCTGGAAATTTTTTGTATAATAAATCATTCCAGAACTTTTTGTACCTGGCACTGACTAAAGAGATATGGGTGTTCCTTCCCAGAAGTCTGTTCAGGAGTGAGCCACTGAAGAGCCGAAGATTTTGGAGATGTCTCAAAAGAAATTTCTATAACGACTTCTTGATTTCTGTATGCAACAAACAAATATATTAGTAGAGTATAATTTAATCTAACTAAAGTTTGAATTCATAATGCACAGACTAAATAATACAAATGATATTTTATAAGGTCTTGTTACTGATGGAGAGTAAGATCTAGGAATGCTGCATCCCCAGTTCTTACCTGAATGCCTGCCTCTGGATCCCTTCCACCCTACCACGCCAAGTGCTTAGGAAGACATAATAGGGACTAATATTCATTGAATACACGCACTTTGCACCTGTGGTATCATGCAATCTTTCATGACAATGGGAAAGCGGAAGAAATAATTTTGCAAGTTTGACTACCACACAGCGGTGGGTGCCAGAGGATGACACCGAGCAGTGCTGGTCTGCAAACAGTTACTGGACAAGTCAAGAAATGGAGAGTAAGCCTTTAGAAACTTGTAGAGTCACTTTTACGTCCATTGAATCTAGGGATCAAAAACGTGTGCTTGCTTTTAATCTCTTCTTCCTAGTAATTCATTTTTATTGCATTTTATAAAAGAATCAGTCTGTGACAGACTGGAAATAACAAGAACTGGTCCTTTGCCCCAGATAGTTTGAGCAGTACTGATAATGAGGAAATAGCAAGAACTCTGGAGACCAGCCTCGCGCTGGTGTGTGAGTCCTGCCTCTGCCACCTACTGGTGGTGCTGTGAACTGGGGCAGATTACTTGACTGCTCTGGGCCATCCTTCTTGATCTGTAGAATAGGGTCAATGATATCTACCTCACAAGTTACGTGCGGGTGTTTCCCTTCTTTTTCTTTTTTTAAGATTTTATTTATTTTATTTGAGATAGCACGAGAGAGAGTGAGCATGAGCAGGGGTAAGGGCAGACGGAGAGGGAGAAGAAGGCTCCCCACTGAGCAGGGAGCCCCACGTGGGGCTCAATCCCAGGACACTGGGATCATGATCTGAGCTGAAGGCAGTCGCCTAACAGACTGAGCCACCCAGGTGCCCTGCCCTTCTCTTTCTTAAACAGCCAAGAGAAGGCATGAAAACATTGGCCATTGAAAGGTGGGGTTAATCACCCTTGTTTTAGGCCAATGGTTTTCCACCCTTTTTCCCCTTCCCAATTTATCAAGGAGTGGGATATACTCCCAGGTCATCCTGAAATGCCTCCTTAAGATGGCATGCACCCATCATCACTCTAGACCACTCCCATGATCAGTAAAGAAGTAACAGTTATCAAAAGTTCTATTCTTGAGTATTTTATACAATGAATTTCTTTAGAGTCTTAAGAACATATAATTTTCACTATAAGCTTTAATCTGAACAGCAGACCAGTAAGAACACCAATTACTACATACACACAAACTAGAAATAGGAAAGGAAAATTGTCTAAATTAAAAACATTTTTCTCCATTATTTAGCTATATAAAAGATAAGGATAACATTCATACTTGCTCAGAGCAATAGGAAGAGAGATTTCCATTGGTGATCCTTTGTAACTTTGTTTTTCTCCAAGAGTATATTTGACTTCTTGTCCATTGATGACCACTTTTTCTATCGTGAGGTCCTTTGTATCCAAAGTCTAGAATTAAGTAAGTATTTTTAAATGATAAGAAAATTGTTTAATATACACCAGAGAACATGAATATTAGATATAGGTTAACTATAATGATTACAGTATAGAACTAGATGCTCATAGAGAGTAAAATAGAGTGAAATTACAGGAATTAAAGGAGTCAAAAGTTAGTGTAGGTCCTGTCTCTTGGGACTCTAAGCTTCCTGAAAGATTTTTCATTCTAAAGTTTGCATATACATATTGTTAGGTAATTCTGGGATAGTCACACAAATTTACGGTTTTAAGTGTAAGTCAAATCTAAGTTAAAATGCCTTTGCCCCTGTCTCCTAAAACTTAACTTCTCTGCCACAAAAAAAAAAATCATCTATAGCTTAAGCTTCACCATGACTCCTTACCATATATTTCTTCCTGGAATTCATATAGTCCAGCTCCTATGTACTTTCATATATCCGGAATTTAAAACAAACCTTGGCACTTGTTAGGCAAATAAGCGGGCTGCACATCGCCGTTATGTGTATTGAAAGAGCCCAACCTGGTGTGGCAAGTCCGACCGAATGATCTACACAGGACCGAGAGAGCGTATCTACTTGCCGTGGCCCATTTTGGACAACTGCTTTGGGCAGGAAAGGAGAGGCAACAAGCCTCTGAGTGTTCTCCATCCCCCTAATCCTCTGGGCCCTAGAGACCATACCTTTCACTATCTCTCAACTAATCTCTTGTTCTAGAATCGTCCACCTTCCTATGCCACAAGACTGTTTCTGAACAACCTAAACAAGTCTCCCATGTTATGTTTAAAACTTCTCCTGATCCTTCTGCCCTGATAACTATTCATTTGTCTCCTCCCTTTCTTAGACTCCATGGGCAACCTGTGGCTGCTATTTCCACTTCTTCATCAATCTCTCCTCCTTCCCTCTCTTCAGTCTGGCTTGCAACTCCTCTGCTACTGAAAGGGGATGCCTCCTGATCAAGAGGTCTTTCTGCTCAGTAATCTGGACCTCTGTCCGCTCATAACCCTTATGGGCCACATCATCTGTTTGAAGTCCTTTCCTTGGCTTCTTTGACTTTACACATAAATGGTTTTCTTACTCGTCTAATGCTGTTTCTTCCCCTCCTTTCTAGCTCCTAAAAATGAATTTGTCCCAATGTTCTAGCCTCGATCCCTTGATTTTTTTGAAAAATATTTTATTTATTTATTTGAGAGATAGCATGAGCAGTGGGAGGGGCAGGGAGAAGCAGGGAGCGCCCTACGTGGGGCTGGATCCCAGGACCCTGGGATCTTGACTTGAGCTAAAGGCAGCTGTTTAACCAACTGAGCCATCCAAGCATCCCTGGATCCCTTGATTTTCTTGCCATATTGGACACACTCCCTAGTTCTCGCTCATCCCACATCACCAACCAATTCCTCTGTGCTGATGACTACTATTTCTACAGTCGGTCGGTATCCCTTCCCCCAAGACTGCCGCTGGATCTCTTAGTTGCCTGCTTGACATTTCCAAGGGAAATATGGCCTCATATTCAATGGGCTTCTAAAAATTCTAAAAATGAAGCCACCCTTATGTCCCCTAATCCATTCTCTCCCTTGATTTCTCTCTTCCGTTAACAGAATCCACAAGGTACCTAAGGTTTGGGACATTCAAATAATCCACAATTGATCCCACTGCCCAAGCCCCCATAGCCAATTAACACGTTTTTCTTTCACACTGTCCTCATACTTTTTTCTCTTTCCTTCTACCACCACTCTGGGTCAGACCCTGCCTTAGAACTGCCTGCGATCTGATCTCCCTACCTCTGGCATCTTTCTACTGAAATCTGGCCGGCAATAGCATGCAGAGTTAGAAGGCCAGTTACCTCTCTTTCAGGCTAGTTCATTGCATGATAAGCTCAGGAAAAGTCACAAGGGCAATCATTAATTTGATTTCTACCTCTCTGGAGTCAACAATATTTAGGTGGAAAGAAATCTCCATTCTGGTTTGGTTTTTTTTTTTTTTTTTTTTTAAAGCGGCTGAATTTGTTAGGGGTGTCATCTGTTTTCCTCCAAATAGGTAATTATTCCTTTTGGGTTACTTTCTTTCAGGGGTACCTCAACAATTGCTACTCTGTACTAGTAGAACTGACTTATCTTCTTGCACTTGCATATTCAGAATATTTGGTTTTATTAGGTTTATATCTTATTAAGAATAGGGCTATTCCTTTGTCCCTTCATATTCCAGTATCTATTTCTGGCTATCTGACTTATTTTAAAAACTTGATTAGAATATCTATGTCTATAACTACTCGTGTTTATACTGCTTTTACAACCATAAGGATGAATCAACTGGCTCATTTCCCAGAGGGACATATTTGATTATCTGTATTGCCTAAACTTCTCAAATCTAATCAGAATCAGAAGAGCCAGATTATTGTCATGACTATTTTTTGAAATCTTTTTCATATCCTCTGTACTTATTATAGTAGTCAGTCCACATCTCTCCTATAGCATTTACTGTACCACATTAGAATGGTATGTTTTCTACTAGATTGAGGGTTCCTAAGAAGACACAGAATGTTACTTAGGCTTGCATTCCCAGAGTTTAGCACAGTGCCTGAAAAAATCGTAGGTATCAATTAATGCATGAAGCAAGTCCTGAGCCAAGAGAAAAGAGAAAATGCAGTGTTTAAGCCATATATTGCCAAGTCTTAACCTCAAATATCATTCTCAAATTACTTAAGAAATTCCCCTTCAAATTTCACTAATAAATGTTGTTAAACAATTGATCAAAAAGAGTAATAGAAAAAAAAAAAGGAAACTGGGTGGTTGAAAGTTGGAACTAGTACTTTTTAACAAAGTTTTACTGAACACCCACTATATATATAAGGCTGAGATACCATATGTAGTTATAAGAAACAGACCTACCAACAGTAGGAAGTTATTAGGGATATAATTTACTATATCTCACAGTATCCTCATTGAATAACACCCCAAAAAACAGTTCTACTTCTAAGCAGCTGGCTAATTGCCATGTTATAACTAATTCCCTTTTTGCACAGGCTGCTGGGAAGCTCCCCGTAAACCTCACAACCCACTTCTTTTTTCCTAGGGCCTTACACCATGTGTTTGATTTTCTCTATCCTTATTCTCTCTTCCTCCAAATTCTTAAATTGTTTTTAATTTTATTATACTGTATATGTTGTTTTAAGTGGACTCAAATTCTTTCTGTGACAACGCATCGCTTAAATTAAAAAGCTTTACGCCTCAGTATTATGTCTCTATCTACATTTTCTACTTGTTATGTGCAGGGTGCCATAATGAAAAAAAAAATGGGGTTATTGTTAAAATCCAAACCAAAACAACACCTTGATTTGGTTCCCAGCTCAGCCATTTACTTAGTGAAGACCCGAGGGTTTGCAGTCGTTAAGATCTGTGTTCACTTCCTGGCTTCTGCCACTTACTAGTATATGATCTTGGCCAAGATATTAAAACCTCTTTGAGTCACCAGCTGACAGAACACCTAAAAAAGGTGAAAATTTCAATAAAAGAAACAAATGCTTGGAAGTTATCACAAATGAACACTGAACTTGAGCACAAATAACCCAAAACTTCAAAAGGATTTTTAGAAAAGCTGGGATTTAGTCCTAGTAGAGCTCTTTCAACATTCCCCAGCATCAAGGACTCCAAGAATGGAGAGAGCAAGGACACTTGATGTCCTCAGCAAGCGCGGCCACTGGGTCCTCTCACCTCCAAGATACAGTTAGCACTATGACTAGTGCAGCCCATATAAGGCTTAGGCACTGCACTCAAACTGAATTCACCCATCAGTTCATCAAACTTTTGAGTGTCTACATGGCAGGTGCTATACTAAGAACATGATACAAAGAGCCATGAAACATAGTCCTACCTTCAAGAGACTGTAATCTAGTGGAGGAAAGAAGCTGAGTTTGAAGAAGCAAAACCGAACTCTTGGCCTCAAGTTGCCACTATATATAAGCAAACAATTATAAACAGATTTCACCACAAGTAGCCTTCCTTGTATAAAATCTAACATTATTATCATGCTAGGCTCCAATTTACTAAACAGACATGCCAACCAGACATCATGATTTAAAAGTCTCCTCTCAGATTTGGGGAGTGCAAAAACAACGGGCAGCTTTGAGGTTGGAACATTGAAGGTACATTCTTTTCAAAATTTAGGCATTCTGTCTCTTGCTTCCTCAAGGATCAGAGGTCAACCTTTATTTGTACAAAATAGGTGAGAGTGCAAGGTCATAGTAAGTAGTGATAAACTATCAAAATCTACTTTCTTTTAATAAAAAGGGAAATCTCATTGAGACGGGACTTCAGCCAATCCCGCCAGGGCTAAGCTGCCTGCAATAAAAGATAGCATGGTACTTCAAGCAGACCAAAGTACAACCTACAGGGACGTAGTTATCTTCTTGCTTGTAATACCTTATTTTCTTCCTGTAGTACTTTTGGTGACTAAATATCAATACATAGGGGAGTCGACCTACTTTTCAAATCAGAATTAGTCTAGCAAGATGTTAAAGGACAAAGAGTAGGTTACCTGCTCTATTAGTTCACATTAATGAACTCAAAATATACTCCTATGACACAAACAGGAGTCATGAGAACCATCAATTCTTATCTAAATTTATTATTATGCCCAATTAATTGACCCCACTGATTTCTCACCATCAAGCCTACAACATTCAGTGATCAGGTTGCTTAATGTCATTCTTAAGTAGATATCACAATACTCTATGCACAATACACTGTCGCTGGTCTTTTCTTGTCCCTCTTATTTCCAAAATGCTCACCTATGAAATTTTTCAGGTGAGAGGTACAATCCAAATACTATCACTTTGAGTAAGAACACTGAAAACAGGTTATGTTGTACAGATAAAATAATTTAATAACATTCCATAAATCTAAACAAGTTTTTCATTACTGAAGTGGCTTAGTGATGTTGTAGAAGTATATTACTTTCTACGAAGCCCAATTAATTCCTCGCTCCTTGGAACCAACTATAATACACTGTATTGAGATATGCTTAGAAAGCCTGAATGATCCACCCGTCATTACATTATTTGAAGAGAAGGGTGATAAGAATCATGACCCTGGAGAAAAAGAGCTGTATCTAGAGTTAGCTGAGACTGGAAGTATCCAAGCAGGGGGTAGGGAGGGGTCTCAAACCTACGGGGTTTGAGAATGACTGGTAGAGGGACTGAGGGAAGACTCCCATGGGTCGACGGGTCCTATCCTGCAGAAGTGCGGGCTGAAATAAGGTGCCTGGGAGGAAAGGGTCGGATCAACATCGGCAGGGCAGAGGGTCTGAGACTTAGATGAGACTATGGCCTGAGGAAGGTGCGCTGGGGATTGGAAGAAATTCGGGGCCTGAGGAGGGAGTTCTGGGCTGCAGGCCGAGGAGAGGAAATGGGGAGGCCACAGGGGGCTTAGCGCTGGGAACTAGGATAGCGGGGAGGGAGGATTCGGGCTAAAATAAAGCCTGAACGCAGGATGAGAGCAGGACGTGGATGCGGTGCTAGGATGTGCTAGGGACTGGGGAGGGGCGTCTGGGGAGTGGGGTGCAGGAGGAGACACTGAGGTATATATATGTAGCGGGTGACGGAGGGATGCAGAGACAGAAGTGGGATTGGGAGGAGGTGATACAGGGTGAGTGGGGGGCGAGGAACGGAAGGCTGAGAAATGAGTGAGGGCTGAAAGGGAGGTGAGGAATAATGAGTTGCGGGCTGTGGAGGGGCACCGAGGGATGCGCGGGGCAGACCCGAACGTGGGGCTGGGAAGGGGCAGCAGCGGGGTGAGGGACGAGAAGCGGCCGGCCGGGGAAGGCAGGCACTGGGCGCGCGTCCCACCGTACCAGGCTTCGCAGATTGTCCTCCTGAGACTGCACCGTGAGCGCGGCGGTGCCGGTCAGCACCCGGCGGGTAAAGTCGACGCTGCAGCGCAGGTGCAGGTGCTTGGTTCGGCAGATCGAAGCCGGAGAGGCCAAGGAGCACGTATCCACTACCTCGGGCATGGCTCTGGGGAGTCTCTCCGCACGACGATCCGCAACCGAAAACCCAACAGCCAGACTACTCGACTGAGAGGTAGAGGAGAGAGAGAGGGAGGTAAAGAAGAGCAAGAGAGGCTCGTGGCGCCCGCCGGGAAGGGAAGTTTCTTAAAGTGAGAGAAGAGTGAGGTGTAGCGTGGATGGAACTACAAGTCCCGTGCTGCAGCGCGACAAGGCTTGCGCTTTGCTCCCTGGGAGTGTGTGTGTGGAGAGGTGCTGAGAGGACCGGGAGCATTCCTGAAAGGGGAGGAGGAGGAAGAGGAGAGTGGGGCCAGCTGGAGGACCGCGGGCGGACGGAAATGATCAGAAGTGCAACGGGGAGAACAATCGAATGCTTCCATTTTAGTTTCGTTCAACTTCGGTGGAAGTTGCAATGGCAGAATGTCAAACCTATTGGTGGTAGCCAATAATAAGGACGGAGCAGGGTGATAAGCAATAAGAGTCTTGTCGGACGAACCGCTTGCGTGCGATTCCTCGTTAGTATAGTGGTGAGTATCCCCGCCTGTCACGCGGGAGACCGGGGTTCGATTCCCCGACGGGGAGGCACAAAAAAAGTCTAGTTTTTGGTTTTCTTTTCTTTTTTTTTAAATCGGAATACAACCACCACGATAAAAATACTTCTCCAAACATTTTAAAAGTTAATACGAAAGAAATAATGTCAAATTAGCTGTAGCTTTACATTTTAAGAGTTGTTTCGTTTCTGGCTTGCCATGTTGGCAATCCAACACACGCTAAATTGTTGTCAGTTCAACAAATTTTTCTTTAGTGCTTATTATGTACATTTCCAGGCCCTGAAGAGCAAAAACTGAATAAGCCAATATTCCCATTTCAGAAACTTAGGAAGGTCATTTCAATATACTGTAATGAGAGAATTCTGTGATAGGAGTATGTGTGGGCAGCAAGATTGGAATGCAGAGCTGGGACATCTAGCTCAGCTCTGGGGCCCTTTCAGAAGGTGAGGAAAGGTTGAAGGATGATTTCTTTTGGGATGGGACCTCAGAGTTGAAACTGGAGAAACTGGAAGGGGACAGGTCTCAGAGGACTTTAAACAGCTGGATCTTTAATCCTGAATTTATGAATGGGGGGGCCCATTGAAGAATTGTAAACACGTGAGGGACATGGTCAGATTCATGTCATCCAGAGAACACTGGTAGTTATTCAGAGAATAGATAGGAGTTATCAAAACCAGAGGCAGGTGAGTTAGGAAACTATTCAAATAGTCCAGGAAGAAGATGTGGGGGCCTCACGTAAGGAATAAGTAAAGATAGAGAGAAAGGGGGAAATGGAAGGAATACTTAAGTGACAAGTGGATTCACAGATTAAGAAGAAGCCTAAGATGATCCTCAGATTTTTGGCTTCTGCGTGTGAGCAATCATTAACCAGAGATAGAGACCATATGAAGAGGACAGATTTACGTGGGGATGATGTAAGTTTAATTTTGGACCTAGGAGTTTGAGAGCATATGGGACTCTAGTGGAGATGTCTGTGAATCACTGATGTTTAAGTCCATAGCTCTGAGGAAGTTTATGGTAGATATGAGAAGGTCAAGTAATGTGGTATGTAAAGTTATGACAGTGGATAAGCTCAGCCCAAGTAGCACGTGTAAAGAGAAGAGCAGTGAAAACAGGTTGAAAGCTGGGAGAACACGAGGTTTTAACAAAAAAAGGTTAAAGAATGGAGGCAGTCCTTTCACAACGTAGGCATATATCAAATCACCACAATGTACACTTTAAAGATCTTACAGTTTTGTTGATTATACCTCAATAACGCTGAAATTTTTGAAAAGGGGGGAGTAGAGTAAGAAAAACTCATGAAATAAATTAGGAAGAGCCAACCAGCAATGTTAAATGTAGGGAGGACCATTAAAATAAGGAACCTCCTTTGGATTTAGCAATGGGTGGTTGTAGGGAGGATTGTGGTTTTGTTGAGTTTTGCAGTTTAGTGGAAGGCGAATGCCTTCCAGTAGGCAGTAGCTTGAGCAATGAAAGAGAAGAGGGAAATAGAACATAGGCTGCTCTGTCAAGAGCCAGTTTGAGAAAGGAAGACAAAAGAGGAATAGAGAGGCATATGGCATTGAGAAAGTGTTCTTTTTTTTTTTTTAGGGAAAGAGAAACTTTAGCATGTTTAGATATAGAGGTGAAAGGATTTCTAGAGAAGAGAAAAATAAAGAGTTAAGAAGTGTGGGAGATAGTTGATGACTTGAGCATTGGCCAGAGCTGCATAGCTCCATTCTGTATCAAAATGATCTAACAATTAAATTTGGCTCCAGTAACAGAAAAAGATGCTATGTATGGGGGTGTCCTGGTGTTGGCCCCAGCAAGGCAAAGGAAAACAAAATAAAATAAAAACATGCCAAACCATGAAATCCAATATCTTATACTGCAAAAGTCTGAATTTTATGGGGCCTAAGAATCCATGACATGGTTGACATTTGCATACATTTTTTGAGGCCTAAAAATATTCTAGGCGTTACGAAATCAAGGGTGACAAACATGATGCAACAGAATTGATTTAGTCAAAGAACACATAATCAAATGATTTTCCTTATGGAGGAAGGATAATTTGTTTGTCTGAATAAAAGAATGTCAATATCATTGTCTTCCATTATTGATTACCAGGAGCCCACAGAGTTTATGCCAATGTGTTCAAGAAGATAGTCACAGGCAACTGCAAATGAATGCCTCAAATTGATTAATAGATTAATCAAAAGACAGATATACAGTAGCAATTATTTTCTAAGATTCCACTGACACCCAAATATAGAGCATACAAAAATAGCAATTCACAAACAATAGAAGTGTTCTTCATATCCAATGGTGAATTGGGAAAGTTTAACAAATAAAGTTTTCCATTGTTTCTATAAAATAAGAATAATATCAGAGCTTATATACAAAAGGAGACTTTATTAAGGATGAAAAAAGTGACATATAAAGTTTTATAAAAAGAAGTAGTACATATACTTACAGAGCCATTTGAACAGGAAGTATTCCAGCTTGACTGCTCACCTGGAAAAGTTACTAAACCCCCCAAAGTCTCAATCCTTTTGGGTGAATAACTGAGATACCTGTGTCTCATGGGGTTGTTAAAAGGATGAGATGAGATAATGTATGTGAGGTGCTTAGCATTGTGCTTGGTATCATGATCATCTATTACGTGTTTGCCGGTATTATTTCTATTGGTTTTTATTTTGCCTATTTTGATAATTTCAATATCTATTCTTTCTTGTTTTGTTAGCAAGAGTTTTCCTGGGAAATGAGAAGTAACCAAGACATGGGAAATAAGCAGATCATGCCAAAATAGACTTCTAAAGAGAGTTTGCAACATCTGTTTTTGAAATATATTTATATTTAGGAAAATTGAGAAATTGCAATAGGTGCATTAACACGTGACTTCCCATTTCTGTCTAGCTCTGCAAGGATCACCTACACACGCCAGGTTTCAGTCAAGCTGAAAGCACCTTCTGCAAGATCTCAGCTCTCTCGTGCTCTTCCTTAAGCCTTAATCCCCATCCAACCCCCATCTTTCCTGGAGAGAGTTCTCCTTCTCCCTCCCAGGACTCTGTCTCCCCACCCTCCAGTCTGGGCAGGAGTCTAGTCGAGTCTCTTGTCCTAACAGAACAGAGGTGTATGTGATGCCCTTCATGTTCTCCTTCCAATGGGTGAGAAAGTACAAGAAATTATTTTAGTTCCTTTTCATGTTTAGCTCACAAAATGGTTGAAACAGCCCTGACCGGTTTCTCCATTTTTCTGTTAAATTTGTTTTTGTTTGTGCAAGAATTGTATACTTACTAAGCATATCTCTAGTCTGTTCATGCCAAGAAAAGGTTTGGGCAGCTGGGGAGGCCAGAAATGAAAGAAGCACAAGGCAGAGTTCTTCCAATTTAGTAAAATAGCGTAAGGGACTCTTTCCACCTGCCTTCACTCCTCCCCCCGCCCCCCACCGCTGTCTCCCCCCTCTCCGACCCCTATCCTGACTGAGAGCAGACTGGGTCTGAGAGCCTCCCACACAGATTTGCTGTTTGTGTCTCTGCTTGTGCCCACAGGAGGGACTAGCCTGAGCAGGATGGATTATCAAGCCATGTTGGGTGGGACTACTGGTCACGTGACCTTCCCTCTCTCACACACCACGTACAGTTCCAAGACCAGCAGCATTAGTGTCTCCTAAAAGCCTCATCAGAAACACAGATCTCAGGCCCCATGTCTGGCCTGCTGGATCAGAATCTGCATCTTAATAAGATACTCCCAGTGATCAGTGTGCATATTAAATGAAACCACTGCCTTAGAGGCTGAAAGGATACTTTTGGGATTGGAAGAAATTCAGTTCAAGAATTTATCAAACATGTCAGTACTCCTCTTGGAGTTCTGGCCCTGGATCCTCAAATCAGTGCTCCTGTCATGCTTCATCAACTCCAACACAGCACCTACCACGCCACATAAATGTCGGTTTATTTGTCCTTCTCCCCGATGAGATGGGGTGTCCTGAATTTCCAGATGGCGTATTTTTCCCTCTCTGAGCATGTTCATTGGATGGATAAACAGAGGTATAAATGAGTAAATGAGATTTCCCAGGAGACCCCAGGGATCCTTTTATTCAGTGCTTTACTCTTTGTTGCCTTTGGGGCTAAGAGAAAGCTGCCTTGTGAACTCTTCCCTGTCCTCTAATGTCACCAGGCAGTGTGTTTGCTTGCAACAGAAAATACCCTTTACCGTCCTCTTGCTAATGGGAAACACTTTACAGACCTCTTTATGGAAGCATACCATCCACTCACAAAAGGGCACTCATCATAAGTGTATAGCTCACTGAGCTTTATAAACTGAACACACGCCAGTGCAATCAGTACCCAGATAAGATACAGAGCATTATTATCACCACCCCACTAGATGGCCCCCTCCAATTCCCTTCTATTCTCTGTGAACCTTGCCCCCAGCGGCAGTCGCTGCCTGAGTTCCAACAACACAGTACTCCTACGTGTTTTGCTAGGTATATTTCCTTTATTTAAGCAGAAATGTATAGTGGGTGCTCTCATGCCTGGATATTGTAGCTTATATGTTTGTGAGATTCCTTTATATTGTTGTGTATTGTTCTAGCT